AACCATCTTGTCAATGTTCTGGAACACTCATGTGTGAACTCCTGAGTTGACTGGACTCTGCTTGTGGTATCTGGGTTGCTAAGGTAAGCACAATTACAGAGAAGCACGTAGTGTGTGCCTGCTACTTTCTAAGGGATTCATGAGAAACAATTTCTATTAACCCTTAGATCTTTGCAACATAGGCACCACAATCACAATCACATTAAGATACCAAGAGACAGATCCATTGGATGAACTACCCAAGAGGTAGACTTGATATATGGCCAAGACACAATCTCAGCCACCTTGACATACTATTTCTCAGGAACAATATCCAGAGATTCAGCAGAGCTAGGTTTGCATTGGCTGTGTGTTTTTGCTCCACGAACCTCTTTTCTGGTGTGGAATAAAATGAATTAGTAAATACAAACATATCTGAGGTTCTTGTGAGGACAAGTAATAGAAAACAACTTCCCTTGGATCAGGCATGCAGGGTGCACTCACTATTAAGTAGTTTCAGCTACTGTTACCTATGACTTAGAAATGGTGGCGGGGCCCCTCCATATCTGTCTGTGCATTTGTGTGGACTGAAGTCTCTACCTCTCAGTTCCACAAAGTCTATCATTGCAGCTTCCCAGGGATGGACATAGGCAAAAACGGAACAACCAGGCATCATTTCCTCACATCATTTACAATCATTTTAGAGAAGGCCACAGATAAATTGCATATAATCCTCCCCTTGAAGCTGTGTGGAGCCCACAGCCATGCCAGCTAACCGCCCTTCCTGTGAGAGATGCACAAGACTATGTCCGATCGTTTAGGGAGACACTTTCCAAAGTAGAACTTCTGGCATCAGGTTAGATAGGAGTTGATTTGTTGAGATCTTGTGGGATGCCCATTTGTTTCCATGACTTTCTATCGGATAGTTTTGTTTTTTTTTTAAATTAAGATAGAGAGACAATGCTATGGCCCAATCAGCATAAGGAAACTGAGTTGCTTTTATAACTCTTTCCTTAAGGAACAGAGTTCTAAGGTTTTTCAAAAGGAAAACTGCCCTAATTTCTACCCTCGAGTCAGTGGAGGTTTATCTGTTGAAGCTAAGAATAGAGGCCTTTATTTGAAAATATTTCTAGTGCAACAGGTATTGGCTGCAAGCTTAGAGAGTAGAGTCAAGGCTGTATCAAATGACTTAATTTTAGAACTTCAGCATCAAGGATTTCAGAATGAATACAATTGCTTTGGAATTATAAAGTTTTTCAGCAAGGATCTTTTACTACTGATAAATAACTTCTAAATCCATATACACTTGCCAAATATATACCCTGGTTTTGAGACTTGCACTGCTAAGAACACATTCTCATCCCTCCTTGGATACTCCAACCTAGGATGTCCCAAAGAATCCTGGCTTCCCTTCCCTTCCCTTCCCTTCCCTTTTACATGATCCTGTCAGTTTTTCTCACCTTGTTGGTGGCAATCCTAATATTGATTTTTAATTTCAACCCATGGGATTCATTTTTGATTCTTCTTTCTCTCCCTACCCGAGGTTATGTGTTCACCAGCAAGCACTTTCATTCTGTCACCATCAGACATTTTGACACATCTCTTCTTCTTATGATCGACTAGAATTATCCAAGGCCAGGCCACTATCACCTTTCCTCTTTTACACAGAACATACATCAAACAGGTTGCGTTTTAGCTTACCAACAAGATGAATGGAAATCTTGTCGCTGTTTTGTGCAAAGCTCCAATGTCTTCCCACTGAAACCATGCCAAGATCCAACCTCAACACATTAACCTACTACCTCTGTGCACTGATCTCTCCTCCTTGCCTCTCTCTCAGACGCCATCTAGTATATCTCTTCCTATTATATAATTTCTATGGTTAGAATGCAAATTCTAGCCACAGTGGGTCTGTTCTTCAGCTTCCTAAATATCAATCCTCTAGACTAGACTCTACAGCCCAGACACTTCACAAATGAATAGTGCCACCAAAGATTCAACTTACCAATGACCTGGTCACAGTAAACACCTTTGACATATCCTGCTGATTACAGCCCTTTACTTCTGCAGCCCTTTCTATCACTGCTCCCTTGCCACGTTGATTTATAATAATTTTATAATTTTAATCAAATCTTAGCAACTTTTAAATTTACTTATTCATTGTCTGTCTCTCAACTCCTTAAGTAAATTCCATGAGAATAAGGGCCAAATATGGTTTTATTTTTTGGCTGATATATATCAATTATCTATCTATCTATCTATCTATTTATCTATTTATATCTCAGCTATCCCAAATTATTAGTCAGTGAGGGCAGAGGTAGCATTATGTAAGCTCTAAAGAGATACAGTATCTAAAGAGATACAGGTAACTAAATAGATAATTTAATATGTTGTGCTAAGTGTTGTTAAATAGAATACATAAGGTAAAATGTGCTTCAAAGGGATGTTCTTGGCATCACAGTAAAATTAATGTTCTTGCCCTGTATCCAACAATGAGTTAAAAATCTTGCCTCAATTTTGGATTTACTTCATATTTGGATCTTAATTTACCTGATGTGATTTTTTTTCTCTAGAATTTCTATTTTTTCTTGCACAATGTCATTTTTCTCCATTTTTCTAAAATTTTTATTACACCATTTAAACCGTTAGGCTTTTGATTTCCTTAGATTTGCCTTTCGATGGCCTCGGCTCTCCTCCTTGATGGCTATGTTGTTGGCACTCCTGCTCAGACTGGCAACCTGGCACCTTCCTTCCCCTAATTCTTAGGTAGATTTTACTAAATTAACAAAATTCCTCCTCCTCCTCCTCCTCCTCCTCCTCCTCCTCCCCCCTTCCTTTCCTCTTCCTCCTCCCCCTCCTTCTTGTACATTTAAAAGAAAATGTGAGAAGCCAGGCGCCAATGGTTCCTGCTTGTAATCCTACTACTCAGGAAGGTGAGATCTGAGCATCTTAGTTCAAAGCCAGCCCAGGCAGAGTCTTTTATCCTTGAGTCTTTTATCCACAATTAACCAGCAAAAACTGGAAGTAGAGATATGGTTCAAGCAATAAAGTGCTAGCCTTAAGCAAGCAAGCAAGCAAGAAAACAAACAAAACCCCTAAAGAACAGTGCCCAGCCTGGGGACAAGCCCTAGTATAGGAACTCACAAAAAGAAAATGTGAGAAGAATAAATGAAGTTCACTGAGCTTCAGAACAGAGAAAATACTCTTGTCATTGGTCTGTGGTACATGGCATGTGTTAGAAAGAGATTCAGTTTGCAGATGTTAGATTTGTATATAGTATCTCCTTCCGAAGTAGCATGTGCAGAAGTATTCTCATTCACAGAAACTTCTAGAGAGCTCAGAGCACATTTGCTGGCTTACACATGGATTTTATTTACACTTCCTCTGTGTCCTTAAGGCCACATTTTAAGGAGAGTGTATGGAATGAGCCCCTTCCCTGTGTATCAGTTAGCAGCTGATGTCGAGGATGATGTGTGTGTCTGGTTGGCAGGGTGTCTTCTTCTTCACCCACCACTCCATGAACATCCTCCCAGCACTGCATGCTGCCAGGAAAGAGCATGACCTTCCCCAACACAGCAGACGAGGACCCGGCCTCCAGCCAGGCCGAATGAGGATCTACGCCTCCCCACTAGAACTACCCAACTAGCTCTCAAGAGATAGAAATGTACTATTTCTGTAAAGTCTTCTTGGGACTACTACCAAATTTGTTCTCCTAAAGCCTGGGTCAAATGTGATATAAAAGACAGCCAGTAGAACGCCATGTGCTGAATAAGGTAATGAAGGTGGCACTTGTTGAAGCATGTTTTCTGATGTCCAGTTTATCTGTGGCAGGAGTGGAGAAGCCATGGGGTGTTATGGAGAGCGCTCGACTTCATTGTGAGAAAGTCTCAATAGATAATAATTTTCATCTTGACACAGTGGTTAGTCATGTGGCCTTCATGAAATCCATAGATTTCCAGGCTTTAGTATCCATGTGTGAAGAAGAGGAACAGAATTTACTCCAACTAATTGCCGGAAGTATTACTTGTACCAATTGTCAGAAATATTACCTGGTGTTCATAGTGACTTACCATTCAGCAAATAGCTGGCAGGAAGTGTCCTCTCTACCCCACCTCCTGCAAGCTCCACAGGGGATGTTGTGATGACTTTGGTAACCATGGTAGCCAGTAAGTTTTATGCCTTATTATGGGTTAGGAATGCTGGCTAGGTTCTTTCTGTCCATTTTCTCAATTAAATACCTTACCTCAAGTCTGTGTGGTAAAACATTATTATACCCAGTTAACAGCTGTGGAACAAGTTCAGAGCAGGTAAGTAATTTGTGTAAGATGACTCTGTTAGGAATTGTGAGTGCCAGAGTTGGGGATGTGGCTCAGTGGTAGCGCACTTGTCTAGCATGCAGGAAGCTCTGGGTTTAAACCACCAAAAAATAAAAGAAAGGAAGAAAGAAGGGAAGGATGGAAGGATGGGAGGAAGGAAGAAAAGTAAGCAAGCAAGAAAGAAAAAAATAAGTACCGAGATCTCAAATCAAGCTTCCTTGTCAATAAATCTGTTGCCAAAGACTCAAACTAGGCAGGGTCTGACTGGAGGCTGATCAATCTGAAATTTCTTGAGCTGTATCTTGAAACTGTTCAGTAGACATTTACTGGGACACTCTAGGTTGTCTTCACCCTGGGCCAGATGTCTAGCTTTAGAGAGACATCCTATATCTGTGGTCATGGTTCTCATCTTACCTCTGTGGGGCTTTGTGATAGGAAGCACATCTTCTGAAGAGGCCTAGAACCCACCAGTCACAACTATGTTGACAGCTGGCTGGTGCTGGGCAGGTCAGAAGACCTTTGCATGGTTGGATGGATCTGTGTCAGGAAAAGTCACATGTGAAAATGCTTTTCTTTTCAAAGGATGGTGTATGTACAAAGGTCTGGGTCTTCTAGACAATCACTGGAAACACCCTATGCTGCTTAGGTAATAAACTTCCAAACGCTAGTCACTAATGAGTTTCCTGATTTCACCCTCCTTAACAGGCCCGGCTGTGAGATACAGTAAGTTCCTGATGTCAGAGGCAGTGGCCCCCCCACTGCTCGGGCAGCACACAACTCACATCCTGAAGGAAATCCTCCAATATGATGACAAGGCCATCAGGGATCTGCTCAGTGCTGGAGTGGTGGCCCAACATGAAGCCGTGTGACCAAGGAAACCAGGATCCGAATGTCCTTTGCTGACAAAGACAATACTCTATCTAGATCCTTTTCCCCAAGTCTAATGCCACTGAGAATCAGATAGAATCCCTCTTGATATCATGCCTGCCATCTCTCTGGGAGGATCCTGGAATGAGTGAATATAGAGCCCTTCAAGTGTATGTCATTTTTTCATTCACAACCATTTTGTTTTCGGAATACAGGTTTAATTGTAGGTTGGTGAAATTTTTGATAAAGATTTAATTCTTTTGTTCTCAACCCCCAAAGAATCAGTAAGCATAAATAATGGATATATTAATTAGCTTAATTTGGTCCTCCTATAGTGTATACATGTGTGGAAACCTCACATCACATCCCACAGAATGTACAGATGGGAAAGATTGATGGAAGAAGGGATTTTGACCAGGAAACATGGACACATAAACGGACACGTCAAATCGAACCCCCCTTGTACAGCCATGTGAAGTTCAGAAAATTAAAATAATAATAAATTTTCTCTAAAAGGTTTTTTTTTTTTGTTTTTCTGGAAAAATACACTCCTCATCCTAATTACCTTACTGGCCTAAATATTTGCCTGTTCCACCCACACATCACTGAAAAAGAGCAGATCTCTTAATGTGTTCTACTTGTACAAAAAGAACTCATTTAAATCTCTGTTAGGAAGTCAAAGCAATAAGCAGAATGACAATCTGTGATGGATTTTAAATGGAATACCATAATTTTGAGCTTATGAACCCTCCCTTAAGCTGTAATGTAAGCCACGGACTTGTTGATGTTCTTTAAAAAGCTGAGCTCCAGTCTCTCCCTCTTGGGAGTATTTGCTTTGTTATATGTTTCTGGTGATTTCCTCATATGTGGCAGAAAATTAATGTCTCCCAGTGTTTTTAGGTGTAAGTATCTGCATAAATAGACAAGAAGTGTTCATCAGCAGATACCTTATTTTGAGCCACATCCACATGAAGCAGATTTTTTGAATGAAGATTAGAGAAGTCTTTGGGTATTAAATAATATGTAAACAATGCCAAGCAGAAGAAAGGTCGGAAAACATTTCTTGGCCACGTGAGCATCCACTGTAGACCACCCTGTCATGCCTCTCTATTTTAATTTGTCATAAGCTTCAAAGACTACAAAAAATAGCTTTTATCTGGAAGGTGAAAGTTGATGAGTTTAAATTTTTACTCAAACTGTGCAGCCTAGGTATAGACCAAGGAATGAGAGGCCCCTCCCTGAGAGTCCTTATGTCACCTAACAGGACCTGTTAGGAATACCTTAAAGCTGTATCATTGCATACAGAGGGTGATTGAAATTGAAATTACAGATGTCTGCCTCTCAAACTGTGACTTACAGCTAGTTTTCGTCCTGTGTTCTTTCCAACTACAATGGTTTGAGTCATTTATCCATGCTGTATGGACCCAAGTGTTTCCAGAATCTAGGATTCCAAATAAATTAAAAGAAAAAAGCTTGTCTTCTGACAGGGTCTCCAGAGGCTTTTTCTTTTTTCTTTTAGAAGAAAGCATATGAATTTTTTGAAACAATTATTGTCTTCCCTTCCCTGCTGTTTGTGGACATCTTATTCTGAAGAAGAACTGCTGTTACTAGTAACTGTCTCTAGTTAGGATTTCATCATACCCCAAAGTAATTTGAGGCTCCAGAGGCCTTTTTTCTCCCTACTTAATCTACAGACGATACACATTTACGCTGGTGGGAGAACAGGAATTGAGACAAAACATCTTTAGGTCAGTTCAGAAATCAATGCAAAGCTGGATGACAGAGAATTGGAAAAACCACATTATCTCGAGAAGACTTACCAGGTCCCTCCTGTTGATTCAAGTAGATACTACAACCTGAAAACTACTCAGTTATGGAAGAATAACTCTTATGTATCTGGCTAACTTTGTGCTGGCAGCAGCAGGGGTCAGGGGGTGGTGGTGGGAAGGAAGTCCTCATGATGCACATGATCAGAAAATGCCTCCAACTCTCACGTCAGCCCAAACTACAGTCTACAGATATGGCAGTGTCACCAGTGAAGCCAAGCCAAGGCCGTCAGTGTAGTCATGTATCTAATTACCCAGGCTTCACTTTCCCAGCTCAGAATGATTCAGGAGAACTCTTGATATGCTGGCTAACCATCCAACAGAAAGCACTTCTCCTACTGATACAGTGAAAGAAACAATTTCTATTTCAAGTTCAGATGGATAATTAGGCCTGAAAGAAACATTGTGCTTGCTGAAATTTCTAGCAATATGGCCCAGACCAAGTTAGGCTTCTAAACCCATGTGCTGTTTTAATGATTAAAACCTATTATACATTCCTGAAACTGAACACACTTTTACACCATTCTGTAGCCTGCTGGCTGGTTTGTGTCTTAGGTTGGCCTAAAAAACTGGGTTAATCATTATGGATTTGCGATGTGTCCACAAGCAAATGGGCTTTCTTCTTTTTTATTCTTTTTTCATGCTATGATTTTCTGTTTATTCAAGCATGATGTTCTCTAGCAAGCAGTCTGATACACTGATGGTATCCCTAGCAGAAGAGAAATGACCGTCACGGTGTAAGTACTCTAGTTACGTGGTAGAATCAGGTCTGTCTGTGATGCATCTACTAAGGTTAGATCTACAATAACAACTCAAGCAATGGAAGTCTTGAATTGGAAATGTCATTTGAGAGCCTTAAGTAGTATATGGACAGCCCCACCGGGGTGGAGGGGCTTTACCTGAAAAGTTTACAACCCCTGGATTTTAAGCCTTCTTTGGGAAATTTATGCCTACTTGTATCTCAGTGAATTTGCCATCTCATCATGCGAGAGAGTTATTTGTTCTATCTTTGGTATGTTGTGCATTTTAAAAGTTTTAAATGTTGTGTGTCTTGCTGATAGCTGTCCTACAAGACTCAGTGCTGCCTTCTACAAGATTCCTGCTACAGATAATTACCCTAAAGCCTTTCATAATGAATGACAGCAGAGCTGGCCAGCTCTTCAGATCTTAATCCTCTTAGTAATGTTCAAATTTGAGTGTCAATTGCAAAGAAGGTGTGTGTGTGTGTGTGTGTGTGTGTGTGTGTGTGTGTGTGTGTGCGCGTGTGTGTGTGTGTGTGTGTGTGTGCGTGTGTGTGTGTGTGTGTGTGCGTGTGTGTGTGTGTGTGTGTGTGTGTGTGTGTGTAGAGAGAGAGAGAGAGGCAGGGTGGGAGACTTTTGTACCCCATATCTTTATTGTTAGCTGTTTTCATATTTATCTTCCAAGGTAATAGTCTCCTTTCACTGACTTATATTTATGGGAAACTTCCTGCTGTAGAGAGCATTTATAGTTGGCAGAATTCTTGGAGCACCGATGATTCTGAAAAAGGAGCTTCTCATCCTGATTGTAATATCAATGATCTTTGGAGGGGGGGTCAAATGGCAAATTTACTTCTTTTATCTTCATGTTTGTGACACCAGTGCAGCTATAGTCATTGTCATGCAGGGAGGGTAAAGAGGTTCACACACGCACACACAGAGGCTTAGCAGTTAGGAAAGCCCAAAACATATCATAGAGACATCCAGCTTGAGATCTAAATTTTCTCAGGCATTGAGTATTGCATTTCTAGCAATATTCATTCATACAGGAGTGCCTAGGTAAATTTTTTTTATAAATTACTACTGAGGTAAGATGTTTAAGTAGGTTCTCTATGCAGACATAACATGCTATCTTCTGAGCATGTTGGCCCTAAACTTTTAAACAAGATTAGCAGTGTGCCTGATGGGCTTATGGGGTAGCCTTAGCACAGATGAAGCAACTTCAACAGACACACATCCAACACCCCTTCCAGAATAAATCTTCCACTCTGTACGTCACCTTTGTAATGCCTATAAAAAAAAAGAATAAATTTTCTGGTATTACTTGAGGAAGTTCATATATCCTAGACATAATTTATGAAACGATATTATTAATACATTTATTCTGCATGCTAGGGAAAATAAGTACAATAAAGGAGAGCTTTGAAGGACTGATAATTAAGTATGTAGGTGTGAGTCACAGGAGAAGAGAAAGGAACACACCTGGGAGAGACGAATCTAAGGGCACACATCCTGTGAAGGCGCTGGACAGCATGGTCGTGGAGAAGCGGTTTGGTGGAAGTACCAAGAGGGAAGGACAGACATCGAAGGGAGCTCCAACACCCCCTAGGAAACAGAGTCCATTCACCATTCTTCAGAATTGTTTCCTCATTCATTAAGGTCTTAGGGTGAAAAGGACATCGAGGGGAAATTGAATTTTGCAGGATGGTTATCTCCTTGCCTTTCTGTTTTTGCTTCTATGTGTCTCTGTCTCTGTCTCTCTCAACTTGTTACATCCTTTCATACCTTACTTACGGTCCCCATTCTTTGAACCTCCTTCTTTCCATCTCTTTCTCTGTAATAATCCTTTGCGTTCCTGTCCTTTCTCTTCCTTTCCCTGATCCTCTTCCAGCTTGCTCCCTTTTCTCCTCTTCTTCTCTTATGTATGAACATGTTCACACAGTGGTACAGACTCATATTACACAAACACCAACACCAAAAAAAAAAAAAAAACAACCCTGCGTTTGACCTTCAGGAAACATGGGACTTGCTCAGTAATTTGGGAGATAACTAGTGGTAATTCTGGCATGACGTCACCACCACAAACAATCTCCAATTACTCTCTGGGTGGGGCTTTTCCTTAATAACTAGCTGCCACATCTCCCTTGAAATGAGAGGAAGTAATGAAGGCAAGTACTCTAAACTCCACTTGGGCTGGTGCAGACCCTCGCATTTTGGTCAAATACCCCAATTCCAACAGGAAAACAATATCCAAAATGCTAAAACAGAACCTAGAGCAGAGTACAGACTTTATATGTCTTGACCACAGATGCTGGAGTCTTGCTGCCCTGTTTTAGAGGAGGTTCCGTTCTATCTGGGGTATGTTGGTAGGCTTTTCTGTTCCAGCAACTGAACTTGGCCTCAGACTTGGTTTCTTGCTCTGTCTTAATGAAAGTCATTTCACTGGATCTTCAAGCGTTGACTCATCACATGACCTTGGCTGTTTTAGCCAAATGGATTCCGGGAGGATGGAGCCTTGGTTTCGCCCTCTGTCGAGAGGCCCATGTGGTTCTCATGGCTCCCTCTACTTCTTCCAACAGGATGAAAAACATTTGCACACATTCCTCCCTTTTCCTCCTTCCTTCTTTTCCTGTGCAGACCAGGCACATGGGCTGTTGTTGGTTTCTTTGGCTCCGGACTGTGCAGATTGGAAGAACAGGTTTCCTGTGCCTCCTGCAATCACTCCACCCTATCTTCTCACCCAGAGACTCTGCTCAGGGCTTACGCTGCAGCAGGACATTTGTGCTTAGAACACACAGCCATGATGTTAGAGGAAAGAAATTAATGTGAAACGGATGCAGGAGAATTTCATGGTTTCGGCTCCCTTTACCTCTTTGTGAACCCTAAAGAAAAATTTGGATTTCCATAGCACCTCCTGGTATGAGACGTGGCAACATGTGTAACACACATTCCCCTTGGAAGTCTTGGATTTATGTTGTTAAATTTTTACAAAGAACTTCCTGGCTGCTCAGGACAGAAGCTTTGAAATGTACTGTGGACGGACCTGATTGTGTTTGTTCCTTGGAGAAGGTCAAGAAAATGGTAGCTTCCATTTTAGGGATGACCATTAAAGAGCTGTTCTTTGTGAAAGTGGGAAATGAGCTCTAGTAGAATTCCAAGTGGAAGTGCCTTACATACGGATGGACAAACTTGCCTGTAGCCCCCCCAGGCACCGAGCAAAGGGCAGGTCAGAAATGCTATCCCTCATAACCTGCTCTGGAGCTGTGTCTGCTATCCTGAGGATCTTCTGCTTTGCTGAACTGCGTAGTAGGAAAGACTGAGCCAACAGCAAGCTAGCATGTTCCATTGTGAATATCACAACTGGACGTATCCAGTCCCTCCAGTTTCTACCTCTGAGCTCCTGCATTCCATCTGCAGGTGCCTGCCATTCCATCTGCTTCTCTGGCTGGATATTCAGGAATCTTGGAGAACCCCAGCCCTCAGGTGCTTGACTTTCTAGCTGAATCTCTTAGCTGAACTTCTGGACAAACCATAGGAGATGAGAGTGATCCAACTTCAGTGTTTCCTGCAGCGATGCTCCTACTCCTCAGGTGATGGAAGGTGAAGTGAGTAGCAGGGTGAGGCTCTGTGTAGGCGCACTTCTGGGGGAAGATGTATTAACTCAGCAAAATAACTCTCAGATCTAGAATAGGCCCTGTGAGAGGAGGAAGAGGATTCTGACACTGCCTTTCATTTCCTGCACAGAATAAAAGTAGCTTCACAAGCCTCATCCATGTAAACTAAGAACTTTGTATTGTTTACATACACTTATGCATATCCACCTATCTACATCTATTTGTCATCTATCTAACTCTATTATCTACCCATAACCTATCAATATTTCATACTACACAATGGATAAAGCTCAGCAATTGCAGATAG